GGCAGAGCAGATTAAAAATTTAAAAAGAAAAAAAAAAGCCAAAAAAGGAATCTGTAAATACAGCCAAGGCCCCCTGCTAGCAGTTCATGGAAGCTAAGGAGCTAGGGTGGAGAGTTGCCTTGGGGTGAGTACTTGGGAAGTCCTGCACTTCTCAGCAGTTTGGGATTGGAATGTTGAAGACTGCGTGAACTCAGGTGCTGGCTGGGCTGTAGTTCAGTAACATAGCACTTGGCTGGCAAGACTATCACTCTGCCTACAGCCCGCAGTACTGTAAAAATAAATAATAATAAATAAATAATGCCAATTAAAAGAGCGAGGCTCTAGATGGAAAACATATGTTAATAAATTTAGATTCAAGGGCGACATAGTGGCACAGGCCTTTGATCCTGGCACTCAGTTGGCAGAGGCATGTGGATATCTTTGAGTTTGAGACCAGTCTGGTCTCCATAGTTCTAGGACAGCCAGGGCTACATTGTGAAACCCTGTCTCAACACCTACCGCCCCCAAAAAGTTAGATTCAAAATAATTAAACTTAAAAGAACTCCATGTGTATGTGTGTGTGTCTGTGTGACTGGCTGTGGGTATGAGTGCAGGTGCACACATTTACTGCTGCACATGGAGAAGTCACAGGACGACCCCAGGCATCACACAGTCCTTGCCTTTCAGCCTTGTTTGAGACAGGGTCTGTTTGTTGATCTGGTTAGCACTGCTTCCAGGGAGTCTCCTGTCTGCTTCCCATCTTAGCACAGGAACACTGGGATTACAGATGTGGTCTACCATGGCTGGCATTATGTGGGATCTAGGAGTTCAAAATGAAGTCCTCACACGTGTCTGGCAAGCCCTTTACTCACTGAGCCACCTTCCCAGCCCCCTGATTAAACTTTTCATGTATTTCATTTAGTCTTTGGTTAGAAAATAATAAGAAAAAAATAATAAATAAAATTGTCATATATGATGCTGTCCAGTGCATTTTAGCCTCTGAAAGAAAGCCATTAATGTTTATCTGGTTTTGAAAAGATCATTTTAAATCATAGTCTTAAGAATGTTTAGTGTTTTGATGTGTTTATAAATGACATGCTTTCAAGTTGGATGAAAGATTAATTAGAATAAAAATTAGATCCACTTACAAGTCACCACCATTAGTTTTATTCTGTCAAGGGAGAAATTCCCTTTTGCTCTTCTGAATTGCTGATCATCTAATTTACATCCCGAAAATGCTGGTGAAAATGCTGGTGAATGTGACGCTCATTGACCCTACTCTTATCCGAGCGAATAGCTCATCCTTGTAGCTTTGCAGGCTGCAGATGTGGACTGAAGCACAGCAGATGGTTATGAAGATTTACAGCAAGTGGCCAGAAGTCATCGTGCCTCGAAGCCCTTCAAGCTGCTGGCCACATGTGGTTATTGTGTCAATGGTCCCATGGAGGCTGCTAGCTCACTCTACCCTCCCTGATGTCCCAGCCCTTCCCCTTTGTTTTTAAGAGTGAGCATTTTGTCTGTCTGTATGCTGTAGATTATAAAGGATCTGTAATCCAGTGGCTCTGAAAGGGGAAAAAAAGGCAAATGTACTTGGAATTTCTTCTTTCCAGGTCATGTGGAGGATTAACTTACTGGTATTATAAAAGGACCCAAATTAAACTACTCTGTAGTGAAAGGGAAGGGCCTTTTCTGTTTCTGGAAGATTCCCGATTACTCATAGGTAAAGTTTAGAGCTAACTTTAGATCATCCTAGAAATTTCCCAGATTCTATTTTATTAGAATTATTTCTATAAAACCATCCTATTGTGAAACTCTGATTTAATTATAGACAGTGACTCTTGGGTCAAGTCCCTGAGCCTGGCCTCTAATACAAAGCAAACTTATTCCATAACATCAATAGACAGGCTGGGATGAGGCCAGGGCAGTGTGCCAGGGTGGAGAGCCACCACTGTGTGGAAGCAGACTCCCATCTCCCGAGATGAAGAGATGCCCGCGACATGCAGGGCAGGTGGTGTGAAGTGGATTCAGGAAGAGGTACCCAGGCACCTTGGCTTAGAAATGCAATTTCAGAAGGAATGCAGGCAAGTCTGGATTTTGGACAGCTTAGCATTCTAGAAGGAGGAAAGGACTTTAATTAATCTGGCTTTCCCCTTCAATCACAAAGTTCAGGCAGAGTCTTCCAGGAGCAGCTTGCTTACTTATTTATAACCACCAAGAACCAGCAATTCTTGTGTATGACTTGGGCTCTCTTTCCTGGAAGTAAAACTTCAATTTTACATAGGCAGAAGCTGTTTCCTCAGGGAAGTTTTTTAGAGAACTGTATGCAGCCCTCTCGGAACAGAGACAATGCTTTGCTGCCCGATTCTCAGCTGCACTACAGTTTTCCCTCAGGTCATGGTGAGCTGGCTTAGGGCTCAGTGCTATTCTCTGGCTTGAAGGTGACTTGCAGCTGATTGTGCTGACAGATGCATTCCCACACCCGCACTGGTGGCCCTCAGAAGGCAGGGTGGCACCTCTTTGAGAGGGTGGGAACCATCATTTTCTAGCTCCCAATTGCTGTCCTGCCTGCCTTTTGCACTTAACTGTTGTTCATCCCCCTTGGAAAAGCCTTGTCCCAGAGCTTCTGCCGCATTCTCTTCTCCAGCTCCTGTGTTCCTGGCTGTGCCCCCTCCTTTCTTTCTTCTCCTTTCTTTCTGTTTTCCTGACATTTCTTCTGTCTGGATACTTGTTAAGTATCTACCTTCCTTTGGAACAGATCCCGCCTTTACCCCACATGGGTCATTTTGGTTGTTTGCCTCTTTCCTTCGTCATCATGGATCATTTCTTCTGAAGAAACTTCTGAAAAAAGTTCTGATTTGTGAATGTGAGTTGTGGTGGTTGCTTTGCCCTGGGCCTATCCATGGCTTTCGAACTTTAAGTCCTTGTCTCTGCTTGCCATTCTGGTTTTCTTTCCATCCGCTGGCAAGTGCTTTTCCTTAGCGCTGGGTCTTCCTTCTTTTGAATCCTTATTTTCTCAAATTCACTTTTCATTTTAGTATTGAAAGTATATAAATTTTGTTGCCAATATCTTTCAATTTACATAAGAAAGGAGAGATAAACTTTATATGTATTAGCCACAGTAGCCAATCCATTTAGAGGCCAAGTGTCCACGTGTATGAGTGTTTGGCCTTCATGTATGTCTATTGTGCACATGTCTGTTGTGCACAGAGGCCAGAAGAGGGTGTCAGATTCCCTGGAGCTGGTGATTCACAGTTATGGTTGTGAACCTCTATGCAGGTGCTAGGAATTGAATCTGGATTCTCTGCCAGGGCAGTCAATACTCTTAACCACTGAGCCATCTCTCTAGCCTCCAAGTTTACTTTTCCTATAAGACATTGAACACAAAGAACTGGGAGATGAACCCCACATTTAAGCAACTAGATGGTTTGTTTTTGATGCAGCATTTGGCTAATGCTTCTCTTTCATAGGACATCCTTGCTCATTTCCTATAGTCATTTAAAAAGTCCTCTGTCTAAGAAGGAGAGGTCTTAAAATATCGGATGCGGGTGCGGGTGTGTGTGTGTGTGTGTGTGTGTGTGTGCGCGCGCGCGCGCGCCTTCTATCTGTGAGGTAGTGCTGGAGAAGTGGAAGAGCACCTAGGCATGGCAAGTTCAAGGGGAGGCAGTGTCTTCTGGTAATGGTTAGAATGGAACTATGAAACATCCATACCAGTCTTCTTGAAATCCTTAAATGGATCAGAGCATTTGTATTCACATTCTCTGTGTTCCAGACCCAAACTTGCACATGCTCCAAAGGGGAGTACATTGCTCAGGGCCACTGTGTGGAGTTGGGTGTCTCAGTGATCTAACAACAGGTAGAAGTAGACATAGGACCAAGGGTCAGGTGGTCTTAGGAAAAGACAGTTGTGGTAAGGAGATGCCAGGTGGTGTCAGTGCTTAGAGGCTAATAGTAAGAATGCTGGCCAAGACCCCTATCCCTGTGAGCATTCTGGACATTTAGCACACACACCAGAACAGCAGAAGCCGCATGTGCAGTGTGATCACGAAGAAGGTTCGTCTTTTGTGTGTGGAGACTATTTCCAGTAAAGGACCGACTTAGAGCCCTTGTGTGTTGGTTGTTCCTGTGTGTGTTGTACGGTGTCCCAGAGGCATTTAGATTTTCAAATTAAAGCTTTCTAAAATGTCATGTCTGTGCTAGGCAGATTCAACCTTGTGTTTCTTAAGGATAAATAGTAAATGAATCCAGGATGAGAGAGAAGGCTCAGTGGTTACAAATACTTGCTGCCCTCCAGAGGGCCTGAGTTTGTTTCCCCGGCAACCACATCAACCACCTGTAGCTCTGATCCTATAGTGTTATCTTTGGGCTGCTGCAGACACAGCATGTATGTGGTGAATGTAGACATACACAGGTACTCACACATATACATTAAATACATAAATCTTAAAAGAAATGCAAATTCTAACAGCATTTCCCAGGGACTAGGGGAGAGGTGATTAAGACAGGAAGAAAGGGCCTGACCAAGAAAGGGCAACCAGAGGTTACCAGAGGGTTTCAGAACTGCCCTGTGACCTTGCAGTGGCAATTCCCTGAACCTGAGGAGGTGATTATCTGGGGCTGAATAGTTACTCAGAGAAAAGAGGACAGCCAGGGAGGCCTGAGAGTCATAGTGGCCCCTTTCTGGCCATTACCTCTCTGTGATAAACAGTACGCCATGCTGGGCAGGATGTCCCTGCGGGGAGGGATGAGGTACAGAGGACACAGAATCTTGCTGTGTTATTTTTTTTTACAATTTTTGTAAAACATTAATTGATCTCAATAATAATTTCAATTTGTGTTCATTCGTTTGTCCTAGCTCTAAAACTGAAGAATTGTGCTGTGGTTTAGCTCAGTGACAAATGAGACACATCACCTACCTTTTCTCACTGGTCTAGTAACCTAAGATAAACTGAAGGAACAAATTCCCCCTAAGTTTTACCGTAACTTTGTAAAACAGTGAAGTGACTGGCCCTTTTCTCTTTCAGCCACGAAGACTTCGAGTTTATTTCAGGAACAAGGATGCGCAAGCTGGCACGTGAAGGCCAGAAGCCTCCAGAGGGCTTCATGGCCCCCAAGGCCTGGAATGTGCTGGTAGAATACTACAAGTCCTTGGAGAAAGCCTAACCTGCTGAGCTCAGCACTCTGCCTGGGACGCATGGCTGAGTAACAGAGGGGACCACGCAGTCACCGACAGCCCTTCTCTGTGGTTGTCTGTCTGGACACACTTCCTGAAGTCAGGCCATTTCCCTCTGCGTGCATCAGTTTTGGTCTGCCTTTGAGTTCTGTTTCGAACTAGTGTAACACCACTCTGGTTCTAATGTATCTTTTCCACTTATTGTTAATATTCTTATAATACGATTTTAAATCTTCTCCTTTTTATATTGTATTTATGCTTCTGTCTTACGATTTTCCAAGCTGATTTATTAGTTATAACCAGTAATACACATCATCTGTCTTTTCATTCTTTAAGAGAGGGGGGAAAATCACTAAACATTAAAGTTGGCTAGACCTTGTTTGGGGAATTTTACAAATTTTACAAACTATCTGTAGCAATTAGGGTTTTTATTTTACATTAAAAATGTAAACTGTTGACTCTCTCCCTTGCAACCCTACATGTTGAGATATTCTTGCAATCTGTGTTAAGTACTGAATGAATGCCTTGATTCAATAAAATTAATTTTTAGCTTATTTATGTTTTGTGTGCGTATATCCCTTCACTGTGAAAAAAATTCAGTGTGAAGAATTTCTGGCAGAGATGGACTGTGAAAGCATCTTTAACTTCTAGGCTCTGGTACCCAGCTCCCAGTGCCTTGACCTTTGCTGAAGTTCTGTGTAGCCGGAACCTGTGCTCCATAATTACAAGTGGGAAAACTAAAAAAGGATTCTCAGTCCATCTGAAATCTCAGTTCTGCAACATACGTCTCCAATATTCTTAAACCCCAAGATTGGGATGGTAATGGAGTGTCACTGCTTTGAAAGCTGGAGCCACCGTGCAAGTCATAGCTGCTTGAAGTCAAGAAGGTTCGCTAGTGCTTTACCTGTTCCATCCCCGTGGGCAGACGTGGCCTTTGTTTGCTTTGATCATTCAGATTGTGGTTGTGAAGCAGACTAGGAGGAGAGCAAAACTGCTGGAAGCTTGAGAAGAGGAGCCCTTCACCCTGGAATCTGACTGAAGTCTTTTGCCAGCAAGAGAAGCAAGAATCCCAGCTCATGGGAAACTGCTGAAGAAGGCCTTCCCTCCTCACCTCAGACCTACAGTTTTACATGTAAAGGACTTGTACCAGAACCTTTACACAAACCTACTGGCTTCTGGTTTTACTTCATAAGATTATAATGCTGTCAAAGACACCTTCAGAGCCACTCTTTAATCCCACTTGTCAAAGAAAACAATGAGGGGAGTTTCAGTAGCCTTTTGAGGTGTATTTTGAGAGCCACCAAAACGGCCCCTCTGGTTTGTGCTAAGCTAATTAACAATGGCATCCCTTGTGCAGCCCATACCTACACTTTAGTACGTCCTGAATTCCCTGAGAGAAGTTCACATCCATGTATCTATCTGCCACTTTGTCTATGACAGAGGTTTCAAAGGGAAACAGCATAAAAATAATGTTCACATGCTTGTATGTATGTTCCAGATATTTAGGAGGCCAAGGCAGGTTTACAAGAGCAACAAATGAACATAAAATCAAAGCAAGACCTTGCCTCAAAAAATGTCACACACCGTCTCTGAAGTTTCTGAGAATACAGAGAAGCGTCTGCCTGTGTTACCTGCTGCATCAGTGGGGCAAAGTTGGTTTCACAGCGCTACGCACATGTAATGAAGGATCTGAAAAGACTCCTTCCACCACAGGAAGGTCGCTGGAGCCGCCAAACTTCAAAATAATGCTGCCAAAACCCTTTTAAAAGTTAAAATTTTGGAAAAAAAAGATGTTTTAAAAATGTCATCCATAAAACAGCATTGGCCTTGGGTGGTGTACACACTTAAAATCCTAGACCTTAGGTCTTGGAAGCAGGAAGCAGGAAGACTGGGTTTAAGGCCAATCTGGACTATATGGCAAGTTCCAGTTTGGGGTTGCCCAGAGACCATGTCTCCAGCAAAAACAAAACAAAATGAAAAACCCAACAAAACCAGAACTGAAGTGGAGGAAGAGGAGAAAATAAGGAGAGGAGGAGGAGGAAGAAAAGTCTCAGCAAATCATTGATCTTCCTTAGGGTTGACGGGGTTACAGCCTGCTATCGGATGCCATGGTGGGTAATGTACAAATTCTGGGAGCAAGGAATTTTACGTATAAATGGGTAAGATGATGTAAATTGTTTTGGAATAATTGTTTTTTGGGGATGGACACAGTCCAAATTCAAAGGGCAGTCACTGGACAAACATCTTCGTAGAAGTAGTTTTGTGCCTAGTTGTGGTTTGGCAGACTCTCTTCATGAGCATTTTTGATATCGGGCAAATATGTGTGAGGACCACCCTCTCAGCCCCGCTTCATAGGTTATCAATTACATTTTCTTCCGACTTAGTAAATCGGTTCATTTTGATTCTGATAGTTTTCATAGTCCCCTTTCCATTTGTGACCAAATTCACAGAATTAAGATGACATGCCAGAAAGAAGACTAACAGATGAATCATCATCTGAAAAGTCACCTTGTAATTTATTAGATAGCTATCCTGGGCTCCTGCCCACTAGAAAGATGATGTGGTAAAGCCATGACTCCAGACCTCATTCCCTGGGGCTTAGCCACCTACTTGTGTGCTTTAGAAAGACACAGAAGAAACAAAAGCAACCAATAACTTCCACCAGCTCGTAGACTGACATGTGTTTCTAAAGCTGATAAATGTGGAAATTTTATTCTCCCCCTTCCTAGTTTATAAAAAGAGACCAACCCGATCTTTAAAGCATCCAGCTCTTCTGGGGAATGTTTCCTGCCAAGTGGTTTCAGAAATCTAAGTGCCTTTTAATCTATTCATCAACTGGAGACAGGAATGGAAAAATATTTTTTTTTTTTTTTAAAAAAGGAAGAAGGAAAAGAAAGTGTGATGGTCTTGGCAGAAGCAAGAGTGTCTTAAATCTGTCTGCTCTCCTTCCATGGTGATAATCAAGACCACATATTTGAGTTTTGTTTCCATCCAAGGGGGGAGGTGCAAATCCTACCTGTCTCTTGGAAGTCAGCCTTAAGATACTTAGTCAGGAAAAATCTGGAGGTTGTGCTTCCGCAGATGGCCTATCTTTATGAACACATATGTATCCAGGAATGGTAGGCTCCCAAGGTAAGGAGTGTACAGTGTCCTTCTTAGCCTCCAGATCTATTTACTCGTATTGCTGCTAGATGCCATTTCTGATTCCACGTGGTCTTGTTCCAAATATAATTATCTTTGTCTTGCAAAGACCACCCAGCCCACCCAACTCTCAGTTATTTCCCTGGACTGAAGTGAAATCTAACTTCCCTAAAACTACATATTTGTAGATTGTAGTTCTCTTACCTTACCATCCTGCCTCCCCAGATTCCCAAGGAAAATGGCAGCAGGGTTTAGGATCCGGCACTGAGAAGCAGTTGGAGTCAGAATGTGGGCTTATAAGTCCTAGCTGGGACACTGAGGGCTGGAGACCAGACTGAGCCAAAGTGAAATCTTGGCCTAGGCCCCTCTGAGCTGGCTCCCCAGCCTTTTCATGCCAGTCAAGGAAAGGGAGTCAGAGCACTTGTTTCTCAAGGATATATATATATTTTTTTCATGTAAGAGACATCCTAGGAAGGCTTACTTTTGCATCTACTGGTTGTCATGAATTTCTGCTCAAAATGATCTGTATGACAGCGTTGTGTGTCGGGGTGGCATATTCTTGTTCTGCACACTGATAACACCGATGTAGACAAATGTGGCCGAATACAACTGCTCTCCCTTTGAAAGTAAACAATCTGAAGAAGGAACTGGAAAGAGCCCGGACCGTTAGATTGAGTGATAGATACATTGAAATTGAGCAACACTGTTTAAAACCAAGCAGTTAGGAAACTAGAAAATGGAATATAACTTCGGGACAGGAAGGAAAAACCAAAATGGGCCAGCAAGAAGAGTTCTCTAGAGCAGTGGTTCTCAACCGTCCTAATGCTGAGCCCCTTTTTATACTGTTCCTCATGCTGTGGTGACCCCCAGCCATAAAACGATTTCATTGCTGCTTCATAACTCTAATTCTGCGACTGCTATGAATTGTAACGTAAACATCTGATATGTGACCCCTGCAAAAAGGTCTTTCAAATTGCATGGGGGTCGCGACCCACTAGTTGAGAACCACTGCTGTAAAGCCAAGTTTCTAAAGTGACCTAGCCTGCTGCCTGGGTTTTCAGATGTACAACAACACCATCACATTCTTTTGTACACACAGCATCTCTAACAGCAGCCTTTAGTTCAGATAAAGACTTCATGTCCTCAGCAGCTGGGACTACTTGATATCTGACCCTTGACAGGAAGTCTGCTGACTTCTCTTCTGGCCCAAGAATTACATCTATAGCGTGAGATCCTCATATCAGACCCCCCCACCTGTAAAAGAAAGAATCAGACTTGGAGGACGGAGTGATGCATACAGTTATTAGTTTGCAGATATCGCCTTTCTGTTTCTCCAACTCACTGAGGAACTGCGGAAGTGGAGGGAGATGGCAAAGGAGAAGAGATCAGAACTTTCCTACAGGTTTGTCACCGCAAAGTCATGCACAGGTATCTCCTGTTCTGTCACTGGGCACCAGTGACAATGAGGCTGTCTAGCAGGTCAGTTAAGGATAGGGCATAGACGAAGTGCTGCCTCTTGGGTCCATGGGAGCTCTTTCCTCAGCTGACCAGAGCTTTTAAAGCATTGTGCTGCTATAGCAATTCCTGTAACGGGAACTAAAATCTTGTAAGGATAAAGCATAGTATGAGGAATAAAAATAAATATAAATTTTAATAGACAATAATCCTAGTAGGAGGCTTTTTTTCCCTTCTACATTTATAACGTCTGTTTAGGAAACTACTGATGTGCACGCGTGACCATCAGAAGCACTAAGTGTGGGGAGCTGACAGGTCACCGTGCCTGTGAAGAAGGAGAGAACATTCACTTCTGGATTTCATGAGTTCTCCATTTTCATTTGAATCCTGTGTGCTATATGAACATTTTTTATACCTTAGTTCCTTTAAAAACATGAGGATAATGTGAACCCAATTGCTAATCTCTCAGGGAAATTACAAGATATGTTTATGAGGTATATTGTGAAGATATTGTCTATGAGGTATATTGTGAAGATACTGTCTACAAGGTATATTGTGGGTGGGAGAAGCTCAGAGTATCTTATATTTTTGACTTTGGAAGAAGAGAGAAGGAATGTTGTTTGCTTTACTCATATTTCTACGGATTAAAAGTATGATGCTCAAAGTTCACGTGCTTTTCTTCTCCTACTGACAGAAATAACCAAAGGCAACAAAGAGCTTCAGTACAGAACACAGTGTAAAGGCAGACTTGACAACCCAATTCAAATTCTTTTTTATTTGATGTGTATGTTTGTCTCCCTGTATTCGTAAGAGCCATGTGCATGCAGTGCCCTCAGAGGCCAGAGGAAGGAAGGAAGGCAGGCCAGAAGAGGAATATCAGATTCTCTGGAATTGGAATCAGAGATAGTCATGAGTCTCTATGTGGTGCTGAGAACCAAACCCCAGACTTCTCAAGAGC